CCCAGTATGACCTTTGGCAAGTCACATGGCTTCCTCAGCTAGAAAATAAGGAAGTTGGACAATATGACCCTGAAGGCTCTTTCCAAGCTCTATGATTGTATGATTTTGCAGTGGCCATGTCATGCTCTGTCATGTGGTGGGAGATGAAGGTTTGATGAACAGTCAGTGATGCAGTCACATAGATAGGGTTGTCGGCTGCCACTATTTATAGGGCTTCCTCTGGATACCATAATCAAATGAGGCTCAGCACTTCTGGCTTGGGACTGCATCAACTTCTGAGCTCAGCCTGCAGGAGAAACTATAGGAAGGAGTTGGCATGTGGCTGGCTCCCCATATTCTTTTTTTCTGGAGATGGTGCTGTTCTATTCTTCTGGACATACAAGAACATATTTGATCTCATAATGGGAACTGGCTCAAATAGGACCCATCAGACCTAGAATTGGCTCTACTTGTGAGTAGTTTTGTGAGGTTGCACCTTGTTTCTATCTGGAATTTCTTTCAGGAATAGGAATCACAAGATAAGTTCAGCTGGGACAAAATTCAGATAAACATTGAATGCCAAGATGGTAGATTTAGAAGTAGAAGGCCTCTGATCCTACCCTGTCACTTCCGTTTTGGAAACGTTAAATGACTCGCTACAGTTACACACAGAAGTAAGTAGGAGAGTTGGGAGTCAGGATATCTGACTCCGAATAAATACATTACTCTTTCCACTGGATCTGATTGTCTTGAGACCCACTCTGATTTTATGTTGTTTGATAGTTTTTCAGTCATGTGCAACTCGTCATGACCCCATATGGCATTTTCTTGGCATAAATACTGGAGTGGTTTGCCATTTCCTTCTCCAGCTCATTTTAGAGATGAGAAAACTGAGGTGACTTGCCCAGGGTCACACAGCTACTAAGTGTTTGAGACCAGATCTGAATCCAGGAAAACGAGTCTTCCTGACTCCAGGTCCAGCCCTCTGTCCACTGTGCCCCTTAGCTGCTCCATCTGATTTTATAGCTATCATCATTCCTTTTCTCCTCCCCTACCTCATCCCTTTCACTCCCTCCCCTTTCATTGCCCCACAAAAAGGGCTCCTTACAGTTGGATATAAACTGGGATGACAGGCGCAGTCAGCTGAGACTTGGTGATGTGGGGACCGAGCAAATCCTTGATGTGAGCAAAGGTGAACCTCAATCTATAGATGTTGCCCTACTGCCCAAAGGTTGCAGGTGTAGTTGAGGCTTTCCACACAAACCCTGGGAGATTCAAAATATCCTTTATTCATTTTCAGGCCAACCACCTATATTCATTTTAGTTACCTCTTATTCAAACGAACTTTTTTTTTCCTTTTTCTAAAGCTTGGTCCATTTAGCTACCCGAGTAAGTGTGAAGTAGGTTCAGCGAGGTGCATCTGGAGGAAAAGAATGAGGTTATAAAGTTTGTCCCAAAATAAGTGAATGTGTTGAAAAATGAATGAATTACTCTCTTCCCCCCACCCCCATACCCCCTTTCTGCTATTAATTAAATAACAAAACTGGACTAAACTGTTTTGCTGCAGGCTGAATAGCAAATTCTGTCTCAACTCCTTCAGGCCCTCAGACTCATGAATATTGTACCTAACTTACCACTAGACAGGCATCCTTATTCGGGCAGACTACATCCCAATGGTGTATTTAAACGCTACAGAACGCTGCTCTAAGCTCTGAAAAATATCAAATAATAATAATAACAGCTAATTCATATTGTTATTCAGTCGTTCAGTGTGTCCTACTCTTCATGACCCTGTAGATCATATCACGCCAATACTGTTTGTGGGGTTTTCTTGGCACAAAGATTGTAGCAGTTTGTCATTTCATTCTCCGGTAGATTTAAGGCAAACTTAGATTAAGTGACTTGCCCAGGGTCACACATTTATATAAAGCTTACTTATGTTAAGCCCTTTGCAATCTTCTTTTTTTGATCCTCACAACTCTGGGAGGTTAGTGTTGTTATTCTTATTTTACAGATGAGGAAACTGAGGCAGGCAGAGATTAAGTGACTTGCACAGTTAGTGTTTGAGGGCTGGATTTAAACTCAGGTCTTCTGGGGCAGCCAGGTGGTACAGTGGATAGAGCACCAGCCCTGAAGTCAGGGGAACCTGAGTTCAAATCCAGCCTCAGACCAAACACTTGAGACTTACTAGCTGTGTGACCCTGGATAAGTCACTTAACCCCAATTGCCTAAAAAAAAAAATAAAATAAACTCAGGTCCTCCTGACTCTGGATCCTGTGCTCTATTCACTCTACCAATAGTCTTCCTCAGTGCACTAACAAAGTTTGTTTTCTTTTAGTTTGGCTACTCACTTTAACTTCCAGTCTTGTGGATCTGCTGGTGGGTGAAATTCTCCCTAAGCTCTCAAGGAACCCAGGCCAAGAAATTCCCCAACATTAGTCAATCCCTGCAAGAAGTGAATGATGATGTCTGGCTTGTTTCTGGTTTGAGGCCCTGGAATGAACTAATACTGCTCCCACCATCTGTTGGAGATACTTGATTTACTACTAGGTAGTTTCTTTCATCAGTTAGATGAACAAGAGGCAGCCAGGTGGCTTAGTAGATAAGAGTGCTGGGCCTGGAATCAGAAGACCCAAGTTCAAATCCAGCCTCAGACACTTACTAGCTGTGTGACCCTGAGCAAGTCACTTAACCTGTGTCTGCATTAATCACCAGAGAAGGAAACGACAAAGCAACTCCAGTATCTTTGCCAAGAAAACCCCCTGCACGGTATGGTCCATGGGGTCACAAAGACTTGGATACAACTGAACAAGTTTCCTGACTGGGGGTGGGAGATGATTTCTGCTACAACTCTTTGAGGAATTTCTTTTCTTTCTCTGGGTCTTTCTGACCCAACAAGGTCACACTGACCCATTGTCTTCCATGACATCACTGCATTTCAGATTTGAAAAGGACCTCAGTAGATGCCTGGTCCAAACTACTTATGAACTCTCTGTAGTTTTTATTTTTCTTTATATCACTCAGCACTTAGCACAGTGCCCAAGGGCACTTTTTATACAATTGTTTGTTGATGATGAAAAAGAATGCCATATACAATATATGGTCATCTAGCATCTGCTGGAAGACTTAAATGTACAGGAACTTATTACCTCCTGAGGGATTCCATTCTGTACTTAAATCTAAATTTTGCCACTTTGTTACTTCTAGTCATTATTGCTTCTGGTTTTGCCCTCTAGGGTCAAACAGAGCAAGTCTAATGCTTTTCCTTATGATGGTCCTTGAAGTATTTGAAGACAGCTGTTACCAGCCCTCTCTCCCCTTCTGAATCTTGTTGTTCTTCAGGCTAAACATCTCTGTCTTAGACTTAAGACCCTTCATCATCCTAGTTGCTCTTCTCACATTGCTTTCTAGTTTACAAATCTATAGCTTATGCACTGGCCTGCCTAGACCTAGCTCAGAAGGAAAACCAACCAACCTACTTCTCTCAATCTCATGTAGCATGTAAGTTCACAAGCAGACAGGATTGAGAGACGTTCTGCCCACCTAGCCAATTTCTCCGACTGGAATCTCAGAACTTAGATGTGGTGAGAGCAGAGTGGGACCATTGGGCTTAACCTGAGTGAAGAGGAGATGGGTTTTCTCTGTTGAGCGCACCAGCTAGGACCTCAAGGCTGTTCTCATTAGGTGTCTCTCTGGACTGCTCCAGCAGAGTGACATTCAGCTGGATCAGGTCTTAGTTTATAGCACAGAGAATATAGTCAGTGGCTGGTTATGAATGCTTCCAAATCTTTCGGCTGATGCATACATAGAATAAAAGTACTAAAGACCTATTGCTTTATAGTGGGAGATAAGGGCCTAACAGGCAAAAGTCAACAGCTGCAGCTTGGGGAGATGGGGTGTCTGTGGTAAGATGTATCTGTGTATGTACACATGTATGTGTATGTATGTATATATTATATATAATATGCATACATGTATGTATATATGTCTACGTGTGGACACATGTATATTCACAGCATATCTTGGTGTACTCTTATAAGACTTTTGTAAGACCCTTTGTATATATGTATGTATGTAAGTGTATAGGTATACGCTACACACTTGTGATATTACTGGTATATGGAGTTCCTTGTATGGGCTTTCCATCTCCTTCTAATAGTCTAGCATTCTTCTGTGCAGCTTGTGCCCTGAAGCACGCAGAATTAAGTGAATTGTCCAGGGTCACCCAATCTTACGGAGAAGAGTTAGGATTTGACCCCATGGCCTTGACTTGAAGGCTGGCTCTCTAGCCACCATATAGGCTGTTCCACATGATCTGTTAGCTATGGAAAAGTCATGCAGGAAGCATGGTGGGTTATTTATATCTCCACAGTATGCCTAGCAATGACAGTCACTTAATAGTTACTTGACACATTGACAGTCATAAGCAGACTGGAAGCTCATTCATTACATAAAAAATTTTCCCCCCAAGTCAACAAGTAGAACCAATAAGCAATTATTAAATGCCTATTACGTTAAGCATTATACTAGGAGTTAAGAGATACAAAGAAAGGCAAAATAATTGTCCCTCCTTTTGAGGGGGTCTAAGGGAAGAGAGAACATACAAACAACTATATACAAATATACAAATAAGATTTATAAAGGGTGGATTGGAGATAATCAGTTGGAGAGGTTGCATAAAAAGGCACTTTATCCTAGGCTCTCTTTTGAGGAGTGGTTGGGGTTTGCCTCCCTTTGGGACTTAAGGGAAACACAACTGGGACCCCTGCAGGAATGGACCACAGAGAGCCAATCAATATTAAGCAAGAATTCCTTCTATGATGACTTGCTTAAATAACATATTCACTGTATATGTAGAGTCTATATCACATTGCATGCCATCTGGGGGAGGGGGGAGAGGAAGGAGGAAGAGGGAGAAAATTTAAAACTCAAAAGCTTATGGAAGTAAACGTTGAAAACTAAAGCTAAATTAATTTTAAAAAAATAACACATTCACCTCCCCTATGGTCAATATACTTCAACTCAACACATAGCATAGGAAGGGACCTTAGAGGTCATTTAGTCCAATCCCTGCATTTTATACATTAGGAAACTGAAGTCCAGAGAGGTGAAATGAGTTGCCTATGTGATGGAGGTGATATCTGAACCCGGGTTCTATAGAATGATAATGATGTGTCTCAGAGATCCTTGTCTACTCATCCCTGAGAGATTCATAATATCCATCAGCAGACTAACCTTGTATATCCATTTTAGTTATCACTTATCTAAATTAATTTTTTCTCCTTTTCACAAACCTGGGACATTGAGCTGGAATAAGTGTTAAGTAGGTCTCCTTAAGGTTCATCTGGAAAAAAAGGATAAGTTTGTAATTTGTAAAGCAGGTTTATAAGTTCAGGAAATGAGAAACCTGGGGGCAGGGGGAAATCCAGAGTTATAAAGCCTCCGCCCTGCCCCCAATCCATCTGTGTATCCACTCGACCGTGCTACCTTCTTGGAAGTAGCTGGCTTATACCAAGGACATAGGAAACAGACATTCTATTCTTTGAACAACCACATAGAGAGTCAGAATTCCAATCAGACACCAAATGGTATTTAGTGAGGCAGTAGTTTTGCACATGTATGGAAACCAGGATAGAGCAGAAATAGACATGTTCAGGGGTCCATTCTCATTACCATAGAAGCATAGAAAGATGGTGAAACCATTCATACTCTCAGTATCACTTTCGCCTCATTTCCAGTTTTTATTAAGTTTTGACTTCAAATCCAGTGTTCTTTTCAAAGGGGCATCTTCCTACCTGTGTGACCTTAGGCAAGATGTTGCATATTTTTGTGCTTCCTTGAATATATGATGAGGAAGTTGGAATAAGGTCCCCTGCCTCTCTACATTCTAACTAGGTGACTTCCTACATGTTCTCTGTGATCTAATGACACTGACCTCCTTGCCGCTCCTTTAACACGACACTTCATCTCCCAACTCGAGGAATTTTCACTAGCTGTCCTCTGTGCCTAGAATACTATCCCTTCTTGTCAATGTCTCCTGGCTTCCTGACTTCCTCCAAATCTCAGCTAAAGTCTCACCTTTAGGGACTTGCAAGAAGGCTTTCCTAGTCTTCCTTAATCTTCCTGCCTTCTTTCTAAACTTATCTCCAATTCATCCTGTGGATATTGTGTTTACACATCGTTTGTCTTTCCTGGTAGACTCTAAGCCTCCGGTTTCTTGTCTTTTTCTGTATCCTCAGAGCTTAGCACAATGCCTGGCACATAGTAGGTGCTTAATTAATGCTTGTTGATTTGACTTAAGATATGGCTCTGAATCAGGTATAATAGGATCATCGACTCAGAGTTAAAAGGGACCTTACAGGTGGTTGAATCCAACCCCCTCATTTTACAGATAAGGAAACAGAGGCCAGAGAAGTGCAGCTAGTAAGCATCAAATACTAAGAAATGGCACTACTGCATTCTGTTTTACCACACCACTTTCTTCATAATACACAAAGGTCCCGACAGGCTGTGAGTATTACGCCACCCTCGAAACATAACCTAGAATGTATAAATGTGCAAACTGGCTGATGGTAACAGGGGACACTCTTTTTTTTTGCAATATGAACATTATTTATTGTTTGTTATGGTTTTAAACAGGTGAAGTACAACATAGGGGATGAAATACTCATAATGTGATATTTATAAACTATCTGCATGACATTAGAGGACGGAATGAGTGTTCATGCTTTTCATTTTCCTGAAATTCTGCCTTACCCTTCTTTTTGTGACGAGATGAGCAACACACATGGTGGGATTTGCCGTTTGAGAGTTTACAATGATGTCTCCCTGATAGCCATCTATATTCCTGCCATAAAACGGCAATGAAAACCAATGCCCTGGGAACTAGGTATGATGCTTATACTTCCAGACAGGATGTTAAGTAAAGCATTTTGAAGGAAATAAAACATACTGCATTTTCTTATAAAATGAGATGAAAAAATAGATTTAAATGTAATTTTCAAGTGCAACTTTTTTCTTATACTTTAAAGCTCTGGTGTTTTTCAATATACTCTACTTAAAATTTAAAAAATAAACCTTTTTTTTTCTTTTTGGTACCTCTAATTTCCTGTTTCAGTCCTGGAAACACTTAAAGACATTTTTACTATAACTCTTCTGTGCAAATAGAAAACATAAATATTATTAAAGTCCATGTTATAAAAAGGTTGTTTCAAGATTTTCACTGTTGTGGCAAACAGCAGCAGTCCCTTTAACTTTCTCCTGGAAGCAGTCTGAGGTCTCTCTTTTTAAACCTTTTAAGTCCTGATCCAGCTGGGAGCCAATGGAGAAAAATGTGCTACCCAGCACGTCAGTTTGTAAACTACTCTGAGAGAACCGAAAGGCTCTTCCAAACCCATTAAACAATGGTGTGGAGGAAATCCAGTTTAGTAAACTGAAATCTGGCAGGTCTAGAATAGAGGACAGAGGGGATACTTCTCTGGTGGAGGATTCCCCCTCAGAATCACCAGGTGGTCCCTCTTGGACAGCACCTTCTGGTCTCTGGGGCACTGGAGAGTGTCCCCTTAAGCTGTCCATCACAGTGTTCTTCAAGGACTGGGCATTCACATTTGCTGTCCTGTGCCCACTCCTTGACTCTGTTACAGAAGCTGGTTGATGTCCAGACTGAGATGCTAGTGGAGAGTGGTCTTGAGGATGGGGTCCAGAGGTATCACTGCCCTTCGAAGCTGTGCTCTCCAATCCTTGCTCTCCTACAGGATGTTGCTGAGAAATGGTGTCTTTGTGAACACTGAATTCCTTTGGGCCCCACCTGGCCAACTGGCGCCCCAGCTGCAGCTGGGTTGGGAAGAGTGTCCCTTGGAATGTTCTATACAAAAATCTAGAGATGATGCAGAGTAAAAGATAAAGAAAAAAACAAAAACCTGGTTACTAGAGATAGCTATTGCATGACAAAAATTATATCAAGAGAACAAAAGTAGCTATGGTTATAGGAAACATGACAAACTTACCGAGGCAATAAGGCCACAACAGATGATATGATAGTAGTCAAGTAAAACATGGGGTCACCCATTAACCTTTGCATAGTCCAGTAAGGGTTAGATGGAGGAAAACACGTTGAACAAGAGGCATTGTACACCAAAGCCACAATGAAAAATATAAGGATACTGAAGCTACATGCTGTCCAGTGGAGCCAGGTCTGGGAGAGAAAAGAGAAACGAAAGATATCCTTCGAAAATGATTCAAAATGTACTTCGGTTTGACAAGCATGTTAACCCTCATCCAGCAATGAATGAACTTAGTCCTGAGGGCCAACTACATAGGTGAGCAGTATCCTTGGTGTCAATGTGGGACTCAGGTAGAGGAAGGGGAGAAGGAAAAAGGGAGGAGGGTTGGGTATGATGAAATATGAAAACAGGAATTGAAGCCTAAAGCTATGTGTGTGCAGAGTGGGCAAAAGGCTCCTAGCAGTGCTGTAGGCAATGTACAGATTGACTAAAACTTCGTTTTTTCCTATTTCTGGAAAGTGAAGACTGGTTGGTATGTTCATGTTATGTTCACATATATGGTGTTTCTAAATATCAGTAGTATTATTAAATTTGGGAAAATAAACACTTGTTCACTCAAACAAAACAAAAACATCAGTCTTGTGGCTCTTACCCAGGTTTTGGTTTCAATGCCCAAATGCAGTATGATGGTGAAGAGAGCTATCGTCGTGATGACAGTTCCCCAGGAAAATATATCAACATCAGAGTCATGGTAGGCCTGTAAGAGAATAGCATTCTGAGTACTTCTGGAGCCTGGGGTAAAGCCGTTTGACGTAAATTGCAGAAAAAGATCAACTTAAAGAAAATGGTCAAATTATTCTGTGTTTAGAGGGCAGGGGAGTGTCAAGTTCAGAATTTTAAAAATTAAATTTAAATTTAAAAAAGAAAAAGGCCAACTTACGAAGTAAGGGATGAAAAAGCAAACCAGGCTTTGATAGGTGGCGTCAATCATGTTCATCCAAAACATATAGGGCTGGTATTCCTATGAGGAAAAAAACCAAAACAAAACAAAAAGGGAGAACTGAGGGAAAAGTTGGGCACTGTCTAAAAAGACTCATTTCTAACTAACCAATTTATATCTCTTTTTGTGTGTGTGTGAGAGAGAGAGGCAATTGGGGTGAAGTGACTTGCCTAAGGTCACACAGCCAGTAAGTGTCAAGTGTCTGAGGTCATATTTGAACTTAGGTCCTTCCGACTCCAGGGCCAGTGCTCTATCCAATGTGTCACCTAGCTGCCCCTAACCAATTTACATCTTAAAAGGCCATGTAAAGATGATGGAAAGAAGGAATAGGTAATAGGATGAATAAAAAAGGTATGACACAGTTTATAAAAATGAAGTTAAGAGTGATAAAACTCAGAATAAGGTGAGGTTAGGGAGAAAACTGGGTAATAAGGATGACTTTGACATAACAAATGTAAAGTGTGTTACAAACTTTAAAGTGTTCTATAAATGCTAGCTATTATTTATTCTTGGGGAGGAAAGAAGGATGAAGAAGAGATCAGACACTACTTGGGTGAATGGGGGGGGAGAGGGGGAGAGAGAGAGAGAGAGACAGAGAGACAGAGAGACAGAGAGATGGTGTTGTTTTTCAACCCTTACTTTCTGTTTTCTCTCCCAAGAAGAACCATCTTCGGACTACGAAGGACAGGTTGAAATTGGGTAACAGGGAATTGGTACCCCGAATAAGTAGGAAAACTGTGAAAGAACATCTGCTCCTGATCAGTTCAAGTAACTATGACCAGATGAACCACATCATCTGGTACTGAAAAAAACCTGGCAGATGCAATTGCAGAAGCACAATCAATGATCTTTGAAAAATTACAGCAAATAGGAAAAGTACTGCAGGACTGGAGAAGGGCAAATGTTGAACTGATCTTCAAAAAAGGGAAGAAAATGGATCCTGCCAAATACAGGTCAATGGACTTGATTTTTATTTGGGGGGAAATTTTCTTTTAGAATATATTACCAAAAGGATGGATAATGGTACATGCAGAAAAGGAAGTCATGATCACAGACTCAGCATAGTTTTGTCGAGGGAGTGGATCATGTCAACTTTAACCTTACTTCCCCTCTGCTATGGACATTGCTTAGATGAGTCTCAGCACAGCATCTGATCATTTCTGATGCTCTTGTATAAAACACGGAGAGATGCACTCCAGCGATTAATACAATTACCCTAGGTGGATTCGGATTCTGAATTGATTGAATGATAAGATCCAAACTGCAGTTTGGACTACAGTCAAATATCCCTGTCATCTGGGTTTGGTACTCTTTAATCTTTTTGTCAATGAATGAAAAAGGCATAGGTGGCATGTTTATAAAATCTGTAGATGAAAGAAAGCTGGAAGGGAAAGTTAATACACTGTGCGCCAGTCGAAGTTTCAAAAAATACGTTGAAAAGCCAGTTCCCTATTTGAGAGAAGTGTGCCCCTTTCCCCTACCCCCAGGGCCTCTGTGTATGTGTGTATGTATGCACATATGCACGAATGTATTTTTTGCTGAGGGCATGACCATTTTTCTAATTATATAGGTTCAAAACCTTGGAGTCATCCTCTGCTCTTCCTTCTTACCTACCCCACAAATCTAATAACTTGCCAAGTCTTGACAATCCAACCTCCACAATATCACTTGCACCATCCTCTTTTCTTCGCTCATTCAGACATCATTATAGTTTATAGTCCTCACTACCTCTTGCCTAGACTATTGAAATAGCTTTCTAATTATTCTCCCAGTCTTAAGTCTCACCTCCAATTCACTCTCCACACAGCTGAAATATTCACATTCTTAAAACATAAGTCTTATCATGTCGCTCCCTTGCTCAGTAAATTCTAGTGGTCCCCTATCACCTTCAACAAACTTCCCTATTCTTCACTTAAAGCCCTTGACCACTTAGCTCCAACCTATCTGGACGTTGCCTCAGACAAAGACCTCGAAAAGACCTTGGCTTAAAAGGGCCAAGGTTTCCCACTCAATCCGGAGTTATCACCAGTTATCTGAACCTACATCTTGCCACTGACTCCACTGACTCTGAAGGAGATAGTGAGGCTGATGACTTGGCACAGCCCTGCCTCATTTAAATCCGATTCACTTGCAAGTCAAGACATCACCCCCCTGATGTCTTTGGTCATCTTCGAGAACGAGGGGCAAACAACAACAACATCTGGCCTTATTATAGATTACCCCCCTCCATGTATTCTTCAGACCTCCCAAACACTGTCTTTTTGCTGTTCCTCCCACACAACATTCTCTCTTCTATGTCCATTTTTTTTTTGCACAGGCTCCTCCATGCCTGACATGCACTCCCTCCTACCCTCCATTTCTTAGAATCCCTAGTTCCTTCAAAACTCATCTCAAGAACCACCTCCTACATAAGGTCTTTCCTGATTCTTTCCAGGCATTAGCGTCTTCTCCCCACATCCCCCATTGCTTTGTTTTTATCTTATACAAATTTTTGTTGTTGTTAGTCATTTTCTGTTGCATCTGACTCTCCATGACCCCATTTGGGGTTTTCTTGGCAGAGATACTGGAGTGGTTTGCCATTGCCTTCTCCAGCTCATTTTACAAATGAGGAAACTAAGGCAAACAGGATGAAGTGACTTGCCCAGGGTCACACAGCTAGTAAGTGTGTGAGGCCAGATTTGAACTCAGGAAGATGAGTCTTCCTGACTCCAGGCCTGTAACTCTATCCACTGTGCCATCTAGCTGCCCACACTAATTTTATATGTTCTTATTAACTGCTTGACAATTGATTTGTTGAATCAAACCAAAATGTATAATATTTAAGAGGGATAAGTGTGAAGTCTTATACTTGGGTACAACCTTCCCCACCCCCCCAAAAAAAGCCCAAGACCTTTCATAAGTACAAGATGGGAGAAATGTAGCTAGACAAGGAGGTTCATTTGCAAAAGTTCAGGGAGATTTTAGTGGGCTGCAAGCTCAATATGAGTTAATAGTGTGATAAGAAGAAAGCTTAGGCAATTTTCCACTGTGTTAAGAGAGATGGTGTCTAGAACGTGGAAGAAAATTAGAGATATCAAGAGAATGTTTCATGCAAAAATGGGCATGATAAAAGACAAAAATGGTATGTATTTAATAAAAGGAGAAAAGAATAAGAAGAAATGGTAAAAATATACAGAAGAACTATACAAGAAAGATTTTAACATCACCAATAACCACAATGGTATAGCTACTGATCTAGAGCCAGACATTCTGGAAAATGAAGTCAAGTAGGCCTTAGGAAGCATTGCAAATGACAAGGCTAGTGGAGGTGATAAAATTCCAGCTGAGCTATTTAAAACCCTATACGATGATGCTGTTAAAGTGATGCACTCAATACACCGGCTAATTTGGAAAACTCAGTAGTGGCCGCTGGATTGCAAAAGATCAGTTTACATCCCTATCCAAAAGAAGGGCAATGCCAAAAAATGTTCAAATTACCAAACAGCTGTGCTCATTTCACATGCCGGAAAGGTGATGCTTAGATTCTGCAAGCTAGGCTTCAGCAACATGTGAACTGAGAATTACCAGAAGAGCAGGCGGGTTTTCAAAGGGGCAGAGGAACCAACAACCAAATGGCCAACATTTGCTAGATTATGGAGACAACAAGGGAGTTCCAGAAAAAATATCTACTTTTGCTTCATTGATTACACTAGAGCCTTCAAGTGTGTGAATCACAACAAAATGTGGCCAAGTCCTCAGAGAGATGAAAATACTAGATCATCTTACTTGTCTCCTGAGGAACCTCTACTTGGGCCAAGAAGCAACAGTAAGAACCCGGAACCACTGATTGGTTTAAGACTGGAAAAGGAAATACGACAAGGTTGTACGTCGTCATGTTATCTGTTTAGCTTATACGCAAAGGACAGCATACAAAATGCCAGGCTGGGTGAATCAAAAGCCAAAATTAAGGTCGCTGGGAGAAATACCAATCATCTCAGATATGTAGATGATGATACCCCTCGATGGCAGAATGTGAAGAAAAATGAAGAAGCCTCTTGATGAGGGTAAAAGAGGAGAGTTTAAAAATCTGGCTTGAAGCTTATCATCAAAAAACAAAGACTTTGGCAACTGGTCCCATCGATTCCTGAAAAACAGAGGAAGAAGAAATGGAAGCAGTATCAGATTTTATATTTTTGGGTTCAAAGATCACTGCACATAGCAATTGCAGCTATGAAATTAAAAAATGATTGCTCTTTGGAAGGAAAGCTATGGCAAATCTGGACAGTTTACTAAAAAGCATTCATCACCTTGCCTGCAAAGGAATGTCAGTCAAAGCTATGGTTTTTCCGTACTAATGTCTGGCTGTGAGTTGGACTATAAGGAAAGCTGAGCACTATAGAATCTATGCCTTTGAACTGTGGTGCTAGAGAAGACTTTTGAGAGTCCTTTGGACAGCAAGAAGGTCAAATCAGTCAATACTTAAAATACTTTGGTCACATAATGAGCAGATGGGACTCTTTGGAAAAGAACCTGATGTTGGGAAAGATTTGAAGGCAAAAGGAAAAGGGGACAGCAGAGGATGAGATGGACAGAGAGTGTCATGGAAGCAGTGACAAACTTTGCCTGGACAAACTTTGGGAGACAGTGGAAGACAGACGGGCTTGGTGTGCAGTGGTCCGTGGGGTCACAAAGAATCAAACACGAGTGAATAACTGAACAACAACAACAAGCCATGTTGTATTCTTATTATAGATTACTCTCCTTCCTGTCCACCCAACTGGTCTTCTTGCTTTTCTTAAGACCACATGTGAAGTATCATGTTAAGTCTGGATGCCATATTTTAGGAAGGACACTAAAAAGCTGAAGAATGTTTGGAGGAAAGTAAATAAAAAGATGGGAGGGTCAAGGTCAGGCCATAGAAAGACACGTGAAGGAATTGGGGATGTTTAGGTTTGAGAAAGGGTGACTTGGGATGGAACATAGAAGTTGTTCAAGTGTATAAAGGCCTGCCATTTAAAGGGACAAAATTTCTTCTGCATGGT